ATTAGCTGAGGGCCAATCTTCCTCAGCAAAAAAGAGGAGGACTGGCAGTGGATGTTAGCTCAGGGCTAATCTTCCTCAAAAAAAAAAAAAAAAAAGTAAATAAATCTCTCTCTCTCTCTCTCTCTCTCTCTCTCTCTCTCTCTCTCTCTCTATCTCATAAGGTCAGGGAATCTGTGGCCTTTATTACACCTTATTACATAGTAGGGCATTGGAATGTTTCATTCAATAAATAAGTGATTGTTTTTATTCATAAGTTCATCTCTGGGTGATTGATTCTTTTCTTTTTGTCTATTGATTTATGATGGTAAATATTTCTGGTAATAGGGTACCCATGATATCCCAGGAAGCTTTTATTACCAACATTCATTTTAATTTCAGATGAGTATTAATATTTCCCACTATCTCCTGAAATAAGAAATGGAAAGAAGAGAGGAAAGAAATCAACTGCATTTCTGAGCCCTTGCTACGTACCAGGAATCTGCTAGGTGCTTTAAGATGTATATTCTAGGAAAACTTATTTTAGCCTCATTTATACATTAAAAAAATTAAAGCACAGAGATGTTAAGCAATTTGCCAAATGTCATCTATACAGATAAATTGAGAAATGCTGATATGGCTGGTTATGCATTTCTCCTTTATCCAAAAGTGTTCAGTAAGCATTTCTTGACTATCTATACATGACATGCATGGTACCTGGCATGGAAATACAGAAAGGTTGAGCTTATCTGTTGATAAAAGGGATAGGTAAATGAGTCACCAATTGAAACATGACCTAATTTATGCTATGCAAAAGTGTGTGCAAGGTTGTGGAAGTCTCAGAAGGTATAACCAACTTAACTTAAGTGGAACCCCCATTGGGAAGCCTATTTTCAACTTCACTCATCTGCAGCTGAGCCACAGACCATAAGAGCTAAGAAGGCAGAGGAAAAATAAGAGGGAATTCCAAGCAGAGACACCAGTACAGTCATGTGTCACTTAATGATGGGGATAAGTTCTGAGAAATTTTTTTGTTAGGCGATTTCATCTTACGAACATCGTAGAGTGTACTTCCACAAACCTAGATGGTATAGCCCACTACACACCTGGTACTAATGTTATGGGACCACTGTTGTATACATGGTCCATTGTTGACCAAAATGTCACTATGCAGTGTGTGACTGTGTGTGCAAAGATGTGAAGACTTTCCTTCCCTTCCTTGAAATTCAGTTTGAGAAGAGACTGCATTTTCCCAATTAGACATAAAGGCAATATAAAGATATACAAGATACAACCACCTATTGCCTTTTTATATAATTAAAGGATCCTGGGCCAAAATTTGTCATCTCATATTCATAGAGAGGTTCTTTCCGAGGCCCAGACTTGAACAACCCAATATATTGGATATTGTAGTAAATATTGACCAGTGTGAAAATGTTGTCTATAAATTTACTGAGGAAACATTCTTCTCTCTGCTCTGGTAAGCACAGAGAATTCAGTGATGAAAGACAGAGTACCTCCCTTTTGGGAGCTCAGTGAAGTAAAAAAGCGGTTATGCAAAGAGATCCAGCAAACTATTATGAACCGTGGCAGGGATGTGTACAGGGCAGTCTTGAAGCAGAAAGCACAGATGCCCAACCCTTTGTGCTTAATACCAGAAGTCACACTTACTAACATGATCAAATAGAGATACTTGAAGCCATTCTTGACATCTCACTCTCAAAATAAGATCATCAAGAGGATATTTTGGATTAAATTTTATGTGTATGCTGGGTTTCTTTTTTGATTTATGATTATTTTTTGAGCTCTATTGAGGTATAATTGACAAATAGATTTGTAACATATTTAAAATGTACAATGTGATGATTTGATAAACAGATACATTGTGAAAGGATTTCCACAGTCGACTTAACTCATCCATCACTTCACCTATTTACGTTTTCTATGAGAACACTTAAATTTACTCTCTTCGCAAATTGCAATTATACAAAAGAGTGTTATCAACTATAATCACCATGTTATACATTAGATACTCAGTCTCTATTCATCTTAGAACTGAGAGTTTGTACCCTTTTACCATTGTCTCCACATTTCCCCTTCCCCCTAGCCCCTGGCAACCACCTATCATCATCATCATCATCGTCATCATCATCATCATCATCAATCATCATCACTCATCATGATCAAGCACAGCAGTTTGTCTTAAAACATGCAGAAAACCACCAAACTCCATAGTTCCATCTAACATGTATAAACGGCCTAGAGAGTGATACTTTGTGGGTGAGCTGCAGCAGTGTGCTTCTTCACGGTGTCTGGTCAATGACAGGACCATTAAAACCAGCACCTCTGCAGACATTTAGCATTGTCTGGCTTCAGCTCTTGAGAATTCACCAGTGCCGCAAAGTAAAAGCTGCCGTAGTTCTTTGTAATCTGTGCCTGTAGATCTGGAGGTCCTCCTAGGCCACTAGGAAAGGGGCGAGCACATCAGCAAATAAAAATGCTCGAAAACACTGTGGTCTGACTGTCAAGTTTTATTTTGTTGTTGTTTCAGTTCTTTTACTGTAGATGGAAAAATTTTAGGTAGGGTAAGGGAGTTGCTTAGCCACAGTAGACTTTGGAGAAACAAAAGACTGTTTTGTCCCTGTCTCTTTTCGTTAGTTGATAAGAGGGAAATGGCAGTTGAAACAACAGCTCCTGCCTTTGCTGGTATTGATTTGGGGCCGTGAGCACATGGAAAGATGCAACTGGATGAAGGGTAATTATTTTGCCTCCTACTGACAGTCACCATAAGCCAAGCAGGTAGGTTTGCCGGCTAGTTTCAATATTGTGTTTCTGGGATGCCAATCATCTTGTGTGAGTAATACGTGCTCGTCATTTCAAGGAAGAAACTCTCAGCAGGCAAGGTGAGAGGTGGACAACATGTAACTACCCAGTAATAATTTGCAAAAACCAGTTAACTGCTGAGCTTTCTAGTTTGAGGGTTGTCAGGAAGCTTGCTTTCTTTTTTAATGCTCATGAGTGTGGCCTTGTCAGAAGAGGTCACCTGTGGATCCAGTCAAGGCTTCAGTGTGGGAAGTGGACAACCACTGACCCTGGTCAAGCAGCTGCTACAGTACTTAACTGAAATGATGGGCAAATGGGACCATCTGCCTGTATTCAGATTCCAATCAGGTGAAATGGCCAAGTGCATGTCCCTTGTCTCTTTGGGGGAAATTATAAAACCTTTATGGGGACATTTCTCCTTCCTGGGGGAAGAAGAAAGCAGGGTTTAATGTTTCAAGCATAGACTCTGAGTCTCAGGTCATGTGTCAATCAGAGAAAACTTACTGACAGTGGTAATAGGGCCTTAAGGAGATGTCTTTTCTTAAAATGAAGAAAGACTAAGCTAGTTAGGCTTTGCTCTTTGAGCTGAGGAAATGAGCTCAAATAAGATTTCTGGGAATGCCCTTAGGGCAATGATTCATTTACTTATTTCAAAGAGCTCTCAGACCCTTAGGCACCTCCTTCTTTCCTTCCTTCGTTCCTTTCTTCCTTCCTTCCTTCTTTCATTCAATGTTAGACTATCTATTATAGCTCAGGCACTACATATATATTTAAAATATAAAAATATAAATGAAATATATTTAAATATATTGAAAGTATTTAAAATAAAACTCCTCCGGTAGCTCTCAGTTGGGGGGGGTTGTGTGTGTGTGTGTATATGCACACGCTCCTGTGCTCACTTTGGGTGAGGGCCTGCTTTTACATGGGAAAAGACACAAAAATAATTATTTATAACAAACTGTTACAGGATTTATATTAACAAAATATTTGTTGGTAGGAGGAGAATGATTTTCCTGGTATGAATGGGAAATATTTAATGGAAGAAGTGACTTTTCAGTTGTGTCTTGAGAGGCAAAGAGAATTGAGTGGAGCTGGAGAAGAGCATTTCCAGCTGAAGGGAGACACTAACAGAGGGTTACAAAGGGCTGAGGAGATGAGTGGGGCACTTTGAGGGAATGGCAAATATTCAGTGTGGCAGGAGATGGGGCAGCAAAAGCAAAATGGGACCTGTTAGCGTAGGGTATTGGGTACCACCCTGAGTCCTGAAAGTGATGAGTGTTTTTAACATCTGCAATTTTCTTACATGGATTTGACAGCTGGACTGAGTGGCTTGGGGCAGATAAAGGGACCAGTTTTGAGATACGTGACTATTTTCCATGTAGAAATGGAACAAATTAAATGAAAGTTCTGCAAATCTTGGTGAAAAAAATTATGGATGGTCTGAAGTTTAATTAATCTTGCTGTATAAAAGTCGTAGAGATAGAGTATGATTGCCCATGTTATTCCTGTATCAGAATAATTATTTTCTCTCTGATGTGGCTCACTGCAAGATTACACTAAATAAATATGTGCCTCCAAGGCATTTTAAATAGGCTCTTATTTTACTTACACATGCAGTTTTAGGCACATGCCATAGAGAGGTGCATCTGCATTTTCCCCTCACACTGGTACAACAATACAGAGAATGGTCACTCTGCTATACTGGTCACTACACATTGCTTGGATCACATGCTGTGTTCATAGTTCATAGGGTCATAGTAGCTGGTTCTGCAAATTTCAAATGAAAAAATTAATTAGATCAAATTGCTACGTAAATTACTGTTCAAGTCACCCAGCTAAATCAGCCTGCCTGGCATCTGCCTGATAGACTTTGAAAGTTTAATGCACTGTTGGTGAGATTGTTGCAAGAGGACACATAGGCCAGGTGTAGAACTTATTTGCAAGTCTGAGCTGATAACACACAATATCCTTGCCAGAGTTAAGCCTGACCTTTATCAAATAATGGCTTGGTTTTTACGGTTTTCATTGGAAGATGAAATTTTACTGTCAGGCTATATAAATAAATATAGTAGACATATTTCAGGGATTGTGGTTTTAGAATCCTGTGGACATGAACAGTCTGTGGGCTCAGTTGAGTTTCTCTAAGGCACGTGTGAAGTCATTAATGGTGATGTTCCTTTTCATGTTTCTCCATGTTTTAGGTCTGTGATGGGATCGAACAAGGAACCGGATCTCGTGCATCTAGAGGCCAGAACTGTGGATGGTCGTAAGTAAATCAACTTTCCCTTGATGTTCATAGAAATATTTGTATTATCAGTTGGCCATAAACGACGTCTGTGTTTAGGGAAATCACAGTGGCAATATTCCAAGCCATTTGGACCTGAGGAATTTTCCTGTCCCCGGTAACCCAGAATTGTCTCAGTAATTTTCAACAAATCTCATCCCATCAAGGTCTTTTTCTTTCTAGGTGATGGGAAAATTCCAAAATTCCTTATTTCTAAAGCATTTTGTTGTTGTCATTATTGTGTTACTGCTGCTGTTTTGTTTTTCCAGTTTCCTTAATTTATCAGACATCATCCAGGCAAGGCCTCACTGATACACGATACACAGGAAAGTAAGTTGCAGATCCAGAATCCTGAATGACTCAAAAGTCCACTCACTAATTGTGTGACCTTGAAAAATCTACTTAAACTCTTTATGCCTTAAACTCTTACAGTTTCTTCATCTGTAAATTAAATAAGTTAATAATAATGATTCCTGCAGCAGCTAACGTTTACTGAGCACTTAGCCTGTACCAAGAATTATGCTAAGCACTTTATATACTTTGTCACAATTAGTCCTTACAACAACTTGCCAGTTGTTATTCCCACTTTAAAGATGAGGAAACCAAGGCATAGGAAGTTTAAGTAATATATTTAAACAACAACAACTTAAGTTTCCTTCCCATTCGTTGGTCTGGAGGATCTTCCAGAAGGGCTAAGCATTTGAGGGGGTACCACAAGACCTAAGATAGGGTGCTCCAGGTGAAAGAGAGAAAGGAAAAAGAAAAGGGGAAAATGCATAAAAGAAAAAGGGGTGAGAGGAGAAAAGACAGGAAAGAAAGAGATCTCTAGTGTACAGGAGGGAGAGAGAATGGACTGTCCACTGTTACCATAGAGCAAGGTCCAGCACTGAGCCGGAAAATGATAATCTAATTTATGAGACATTTCCTATTTCAAAATTATCCCTCACAATTCAAAAACTCCATCATTACTGTCACTTGTGCCTGTCTACTTGTCCTCAGCTCCTCTGAACACAAAAGTAGACGATAACTACAATTTATCAGCTTACAACTAAAAGAAGCCAGCAAGCCTGTAACCCAAACCCTCCAGAAATCACATGTATTCCATTGCTATGCCCACATCGTGAGATTTTTCATCTCCAGAGGTTTTGCTTCCCCTTTGGGGGAATGAATATATTCTTTGGCAGAATCAGCACGGAGGACAGATCAGTGTCCAAGCTGACCATCACCTTCCTCCTTTATAAACTCAGACAGTGCTGCCATACATCATATGCCAGCCCTGTGCCTGACACAGAATGCGCTCAATGGTTTAGAGCTTCTTTTCTTGCCTCTTCCATGGGCTCTCTCTGGTGGTGACCCCTCCATTTCCCTGGAGCTGTTTATGTTATCTTGGATTCCAAGGTCTGGTTCTTACTACACAATAGCTAGAGCAGTCTTTTCCTAAGGCAAAAGTAATCATGTCATCTGTTTAAAACTTTTATTTACTTCTCATTGCTCTGAGGACAAAGAGCAAAGTTCTCATCTTGACTTCAAGATTCAGCGTAATCTGGTGCCTGCCCATTTCCTCAGCCTTATCTCATTCTGTCCTCTCCTCACTCCTTGCCTGCAGACCTGTGGGCTTGCTTTCAATTCATGGACCATAGGGTTCTGTGTCTTGATAAGACTCCAATAGCTGTTGTTTCCTCTGCCTGGAATACTCTCCTCCCCTCTCCCTTCCCTGACTGACTCAGTGTAATTAATCCCTGAGGATGGTTCAGATCTAAGGTTAGACGTCCATTTCTATTTTTTAAAATTTTTTATTTTGAAATAATTTTAGACTCAAATAAAAGTTACAAAAAATAGTACACAGAATTCTCCTGTACATTTCACCTAGATGCTTCCAAAGATAACATCCAATATAACCGTAGAACAGTATCAAAACCAGAGAAAACATCCATTTCTTAGGAAAATCTTCCTTTTTTTGTGTGAGGAAGACTGACCCTGAGCTAATATCTGTTGCCAATCTTCCTCTTTTTCCTTGAGGAAAATTGTCACTGAGCTGACATCTGTGCCAGTCTTCCTCTATTTTATGTGGGATGCCGCCACAGTGTGGCTTAACCAGTAGTGCAGGGTCCGCACCCAGGATCCAAACCCACAAACCCCTGCCAAAGTGGAGCGTGTGAACTTAACCACTGTGCAACTGGGCCAGCCCCAGGAAAGTCTTTCTTGAACTCCCAATCTAAACCAGTTTCTTATTTTGTTTGCTTTCATCCAAGTCTATTCTTTTCCTTGATTGTGCTCATCTCAGTTTGAAACTACGCATTCCATTTACGTGATTATTTGATCACAACTTTTCCTCTCCAGCAGTCTGTAAGTTCTCTGAGTGCAGGGCCTTGTTCAATATTGTGTCTCCAACACACGCCACAGTGTCTACATGTACATGGAGCTTAATAAATATTTACTGGATGAATGAATGCATAGTTGATCGGTTGTCAGGGCTACAAGCTGGCTAGCTACATCACTTACCAAGTTGTCTGAAAATTTTAAAGCATTACATCTCAAACTTTAACATGCCTATGACCCAGCTAGGGATCTTGTTAAAATGTGGATTCTGACCCAGTAGGGGCCTGAGAGTCTGCATTCCTAACAAGCTCCCAGGTGAAACCAACACTGCTGATCTGTAGAACACGCTTAGAGTAACAAAGTCCCACAGTGAAAAACTAATGAAAGAGCTTTAGAGTCTGTCTCCCATGACTAAACCCCTTGTTTAGGGAGCTCTGGATGGAATTGCGAGCATCCCAGATTGCTTTTGTTTTCAAGCTTTTGGGGATAATGCTGCTCTCTGGCTTGTGGCATCTAATGCATATAACCCCCTATCCTGAAAACCACAAGGCCATCACTTTCCCTGAGCTGTACATCTCCTTTGACCCGGCATTCTTCCTGTGCTCCCTGCAGGTGTGGAGCTTGATAATGCCAGACTGTCATCGCGGGCTCAGCTTTCACAAGGCGTGAAATATATCAGATTTAATTTTATTTATTTTATTTTACTTTTTTGCAAAGGCAGCATCTTCAGAAACTACCCAAGAGTGAAAATTCAATAAAGGGATTTAATTTGAAAAGTTATCCCTGTCAAAACAAAACAGAAAAAAAAATTACCTACCAATTGAAATAAAGGATCTAAGCATAACGGCCAACCTGAGTGTAAAAAGATGAGATTTCTCAGTGTCACATTCTCTCTCTCTCTGTCTCTCCCTCTCTCTGCCTCCCTCTCCCTCCCTCCCTCCCTCCCTCTCCCTCCCTCCCTCCCTCCCTCTCCCTCCCTTCCTCCTTTTCTCTAAGGCAGTCAGTACCGGGACTCCAGGTAAAAGCAACAGAGAGGAGAAGGAGGGAAGCAGAGAGCACAGAGAGGTCAGAGGAGCAGGGGATTAGCAGATGTAGCTGAGAGTGTATTTATCAAAATCAGGTTCCAGGCTGGTCGGTTGCTCCAAGATTTCCAATATCTATATGTTCTCTCTCTCCCTGTTGTTATCCCTGTCATTTCTCCTAGTACAAAATTTAAGATTATGCAACCCATTGTTTATATTCTAGGTCATAAATTTATAGGGTATAGGCCAGAATAATATATTATTTTTGACTTTGAACAAGGATTTTTTTTCTGATTTTCATGAGTTTAGGAATTTTGTAGCCAAGGCACTGAGACATTTGACACAGGAAAAGGCCCACACTAACTTATTTGGCTCATCTCCATGGGGTGGATTGCAATGGTTATCTGGGCTTGTTATTCAAAGTTTAGTTTTAGTTTCATTTCAAATCTCCCTAGATTACATTTTATAATTAATTTCTCTTTCAATTGAAGTCTCCATAGTGGAGGGGAGATAAGCGCTGGAAAGCTTTTGCTCTATGAAGGTCTATGACTGGCCTAGATGTTTTTTGCCAACTATGCTCTGAAATCCAGATGTCTTGTAGTTTACAACAGGGACAAGGATGTTATTCTTTCTTGTGTTACCTCTCTGCCTTGGGAGGCAAGCTGAAGAGAGCAACCTCAATTACAATCAATCACAGGAAGTATTGTGGAAAAGTTTTAACGTATTTATTGGATATGGCATTTGTTATTGGCCCCCGCATTCAACTGAAGACAGCTTGACAGGTCCTCATCCAGGAAACAAAGATTTTACTGTTTAAATATCGTGTGTGTGTGTGTTCATGCATACGTTGAATGTACCTAGGATATTAAAACTGCTACCTGGTACATTAAAACAGTAATTTACATTGAATTGGTTTACCTAATGTAGATATATTTGTGTGTGTGTATGTCATGTACGTAGTTAGAAAATGTTGACCAAACTGTTGGATTGGGAGCTTTGTGAAAAGCTATATCTTGTTTAATCTTGGTTCTATATACAAAACATAGCTCAGAGCCTGACACATTTAATGTTTCTTGAGCTAATAAATATATGTGTGTGTCAGTGTACGGGCATGTCTTCTTAAAGAAGGGCCTGTAACCATAGGGTCTAAGGAGTCCTGTAGGGCTAATGGATGAGCACAAGAAACTCACTAACTCGCTTGAAATTGTGTGCCACATGTCTGTGTGATTTTGGAGGAAAAGAGCATAACTTTTATCAGAATCCTTCACATGACAATTACACCTGGACGTATAGTTCTGTATTTATGCTCATCTGTAAACATCGTCTTGTAAGAGAACCTGCAGTACTAAGTTTGACCTTGACTGCTTCTCCTTGTTACTTCTGAAATGAAAGTCCTGGACAATGACCTGAATGTTTCTGTGCTGGTGGTGATCCGTGCTAGCACGGACAGGGGACAGGGGACAGTTACTCGTCTCTGTGTCTATTTGCATGAGTAAGTAACCTTGTAACAACTTGCCCAAGGACTAATCTCTTTCACCGGGGAAAAACCACCTTAGCCCTTTAACCAGCTGTAAAAATGACTGCCAGAACCTCTTCCTGAAATGGACCTCAAACAAGCATTATACAAACTGAAATAAAATC